AAGAAGATGAACTGCTTTGCCTTCGATTCACGCGCTTCAGGACGGCAGCGGTTTATTGTAAATAAATTTCTTTACACAACGGGTGGCTTGATTTCCCACACGTGATACCGGGTTTCAACACCAATTGTAGGAAATCGAGCTTCCCGCCGCGTAGAAAAAAAATCACAGCCCATCCACGGAGGGGATGGTAATGAGTGGGGTGAAGCGTCCGCCCACCTGTCCGTCTGTCTGCCTGTCTGTCTGTCCGTACGTCCATCCGTCTGTTCATCTGTCAACTATATTGAACCATCTACAATAGGATGGATGGACGGATGTGCTTCTACCCTTTAGATCGGGCGGCGGCTAACGCCACCTAGCCGTAATACTTAGTTAAGTGAGTGAGTGAGCAAACTTTATTTATTGAGCAAACTTTATTTAATACTTAGTTAACTAACCAATAGATTTATCTTTTTTATCTTTAAATATTGAAGTTGAGGACTGGTACTTTGAAGTGAAGGATTTAATTTTCACTCATGCATTGACTTTACCCACCAATCAGATAACCTTCTTCTAGTTAATGCTACCCGCCTAAAGTCTATTTTGCCCTCCCTGTCCCTAAACCCCATTGCTTTGAAAAACTCTGCGCCATCATTCTGAATTATAGGGTGAAGCCCTTTACAGAACATTATCAAATGTTCGGCAGTTTCCTCCTCCTCACCACATGCACTGCATACCGTGTCTACCCCTTCGTATTTGGCCCGATATGTCTTGCTTTGCAATACTCCCGTCCTTGCCCTAAACAGTAGAGAACTACCCCGAGTATTATCATAGGTTCTTTCCTTGACAATTTCCTGCTTAAAAGTTCGATATATCTCTAGTGCGTACTTCTTAATCATGCCAATTCTCCACATGTCAGTCTCAGCTTCTTTCACCTTCTTCTTAACTGAAAATTCTTTTTGGTTTGGCCCCCTGCTGTTTTCCAAGTATTTACCAGTCAATTTTCTGGTTCGCTTCCTCCATTTTGTATTGACATTCTTCATGTACAAGTAGCTGAATACCTTCCTAGCCCAACGCGCCTCCCGCATTTCTCTCAATCGCTTCTCAAATTTTATCTTGCTACTAGCTTCCCTGCCCTCAAATGATGTCCATCCCATATCACCTTGTACTCCCTGATTTGGTGTATTCCCGTGAGCTCCTAAGACAAGCCTACCTATTCCACGTTGCTTAATTTCTAATCTTGCTTGAACTTCTGATCTCATGCACAACACCACATTGCCGAACGTCAGACCAGGAACCATGACCCTTTCCTATATTCCTCTCACAACATCATACCTATTGTAATTCCACAGTGCCCTATTTTTCATCACTGCTGCATTTCTGTTACCTTTAGTGTTCACGTATATTTCGTGTTCCCTTAGGTATTCGGTACAATTGCTTATCCATATGCCCAGATATTTGTATTTATCTGTTACCTCTAGCATGACGTAATGTATCCTTAGCTCACAACCTTCATTATCATTAAATATCATGACTGCTGATTTTTCTTTACTGAATCTGAAACCTAACCTATCTCCCTCATTACCGAAGATGTCCATCAATCTCTGCAAATCTTCCTTGTTGTCAGCCATTAGCACTATATCATCTCCGTAAATTATTGCCGGTAGTGCCTAATCAATGAGTTTTCCTTGTTTGACGAAAGAGAGGTTGAAGCCAAGTCCACTTCCCTCTAATTTGGCCTCTAATCCTTGTAGGTACGTCATGAATAAGAAGGGTGACAAAGGACACCCCTCACTAAGCCCTCGTTTCACTTCTGTGGGCTTAGATACCGGTTTTTCCCACTTTATAACTACCTTGTTACTTTTATAGATTTCCTTTAAAAGATTAGTGACTCCATCTTCCACACCTAGTGTGTCCAGTATTCCCCACAAGTCCTCTTGAACCACGCTATCGTACGCTCCCTTGATATCCTAAAATGCTAGCCACAGGTGCCTTAGTTCCTTTTCTGCTATTTCGATGCACTGCGTCAGTGAGAACAGATTGGCTTCCAACCTCCTGTGTCTGCGAAACCCTTTCTGCAGTTCTCCCAGCACTCCCTCATCCTCTGTCCATGCCTGCAGTCTTTCCTTTATATTCTGCATAACCAACCTGTAGACCACTGATGTCACCATTATAGGACAAGTTGCTTGTGTTAGCTTTGTCCCATTTTCCTTTATAGATCATGCCCATCCTGCTAAGCTTCCATCCATCGGGGACTTGACCATTAAATATTGTTCTGCTTACTACCTCTCTCAAAGTCTGTTTAGACTTCGGACCCAATGTCTTTATAAGCATAATTGAAATGCCATCAGGGCCTACTTGGAACCCTCTTCTCAGCCCTTTCCCACTCTCGTTTTGAAAATGGAGCCATTGCGCCACTTGATCCATCCTTGTCTACTGTGGTCCATAAGGCACTTATTTGCTGAAAATTTTCTGTCCCCTTGTTCTTATATATTCCATAGCTTCGTCCCCTTCTAGCCTAGCACCTTGAGCTGTAGTTATAAACCTCTGCTCTAGGCTTGTTTCATTTCTTAAGTTTAGATTGTTCCGAAATTTCGCAGCTGCTTTTTTGTCCTTTTTATGTACTTCTGCCAGCCACTGAGCTCCCTTTCTTCTAATCGTTTCATGGATCAGAAGTAATGCATCCCTTCTACAGCTTAGAAAGGTTTCCCATTTTCTTTCAACATCATCTGTCGGTTCAGCCCGCTCCTTAGCATGTCTGTGTTCCCCAGAGGCTTCCTGACGTTTTGCTATGGCTCTCTTAACTTCCTCATACCACCAACTCTTGGGTTTGTGTATTCTTTTCCGGGGAGACTTGTCACGGGCCTTAGCAAGCTCTAGCTCAAACAGTCTAAGGATATTGATATATGTCCACACTGTTTTGTTATCCTTTGTAATTACTTTCTCAATTTGTTTAGTAGCTATTTCTATTTGCCTTTCTGAATAAAAATTTTCCTGTAGTTGCTCATCTTGTCTTCTTCACACTTTCGCTGCTTTTCCAAAACTTAGCTTGATACGTTTGTGATCACTACCGAGACTTCTGGAGCCACCTTCATCTCTGTGCATTCCCCTGAGCTTATCTCACATCCTGTGTGACAGCAGTGCGTAATCTATCGTTGACTGTATCCTTCCTACCTCCCATGTTATTTGCCTTTCACACTTCTCAGTACTGTTGAGAATATGAAAACCACTATAACGCCAACTAGTGGTAATATTTCCAAGGACACGTATACACAAGGCCATCTAGAGATCAAGTCTCAAAACTAACTAGAAGTTCCTACATATACTACTACTACTACTACTACTGCTACTAATACTATTACTACTACTACTACTACTACTACTACTACTACTACTACTACTACTACTACAAAGTAGGGAACGACCCACACCCTAGGAAGTTTCACCCCTGAAATGCTTTTTCATATAACAATCCACATCCTGACTCCGTGGGTGGCTGCTGCAGCGCCTGAATCGAAGGTAGAACAGTTTCTCGTTTTCTTGCTCGTTGATATTATTCCAACACAGTATTAATTATATGAACAGTAGTTACCGGTAGCAAGTGGTGGGAATTATGTGATCTTCGTGATGTATACCCGTTTACGACGGACCGTGACGACGACATGACACGCCGACAAGCCAAGACGATGAAATGCTTCGCCCTTAAGAAGAATGAATAAAGCCGCGCACACTTTCCTTGGCATGTTTGTCTGTTGAATTCACTTGGTTGTGCCTCACAAAGGAGCGTGCCCCTCTGCCCTTATTTCCCACATTTTTATATTTTTTACGGCTGTATGAGTAGGAAAGCCTTGCTGTGGTTAGATTAAACTTGCTTTTCTTTATCATCCCCCCCCCCCCCCCCCTATGGACCACTTGTGACGTCAAGGCGGCAACGTGGAGGACCTGGGCGACATCGATGGCGTCGACATGTGGCGTAGCCTCGTAACGGGCCTCGGCTCTCCGAGGTCCGAGGTTCTGCACAACATCGACCCCATATGGAACATGTCCGCCCTACGCGTCGGCCGCTACAAGTACCTCAACGGGACATACGGCGATGGCCGGTACGACGGCTGGTACGAACCACTGCAAGAAAGAGGCTTCGAGTTTGGACTCTACGGGGTGGACAACACGTCGGGAGACAAGTACGGTTTCCGCCACCTCTACGACGACGAAGACGCCACACCTTTGACTGCTGCGGACTACTACAAGGTGCGGCAGCAGGAACCTCCCAGTTATCGTAATTCCTCGTCGAGTGCGGCAAGAAGGTACGCGGCGCTTGTTCTTGCGTGAGATAGGCTTACGTTCATTACGTTTTGTTGGACGATTAACGTGACGAAAAAAAATCAGTAAGAAGAATGAGGTTGCATAGATATTTTTAAACATAATGGTATGACTTAACATGACGTTAAAAAACCAAGCATCTTTTGAGGCTCGAATAGAAGGCAGGCTTTCAAAAATAGAGGAAAGGCTAGAAATTCTGGGCGAAGCCCCACTCAGGCTTGCTAGCCTTGAGAAGTTTGCCAGTGAAGCCGAAACCTCAATAGCAACTGTTAGTCAAAAAGTTGATAAGTTCGTTACTAAGTCGTGCACCGACAGGAATGCTTTCCTCAAGCGACTTGACGATCTCGAAAACCGCTCTCGGCGGAATAATCTTATTATCAGAAGGATAAAAGAAGACATGAATGAAACTGAAGATGTTTTACGTGAGAAGGTTAACGTCGACGTTTTTGATAAGCTGCTAAACCTTAAAATTAACTCAGTTGAACGAATTCATAGCTTAGAAGCAAAACAGGGGGGCAACAATAGGCCCGTTATCCTGAGAGTTTCAGATTTCAGAGATAAGCCTAGTATCCTACGAAACTGCTTTAAACTGCGTGGTAAGGAGGTCAGCATACACGAAGATTTTTCTAAACGAGTTGTTGAGATACGCAGAAGGCTGTGGGAGTCTAGTGCTGAGGAGAGAAAAACGGGGGCCAAGGTTAAGCTTATTTTTGACAAAATGAAAATAAGTGATGTAGTGTACGGTTGGAACGGGGATACTAATATGAGGTACATATGTAAGACACCTGCCGAAACAACTGACAGGCGTCGTGATGGCGACTGACGATGTCAGAGTAGTTTTAACCAGTTATAAATAATAATGTCAGAAGTATTAGAAATAAAAGGGCGGATCTTGAGGCTGTGGTACTAGAACACGATCCCGACTTTTTAGTAATGACCGAAACATGATTGAAGAAAGATGTACTGGATGCCGAGGTTACTCACCCCGGATACAAAATCGTGAATCGTGAGAAGAGACCGTAATTATAATTATGTTTTGGCTGTAATGATTTGCAGCGTTTCGTTTGTGCATGATCCCATATTTTAGAGCATTGCTTCGAAGTGCCTTCGTGTCTAGTCAACTTTCTCAGTCTCCAATGGTTCTCTATTCGTGTTTAAGTATGACGCTTTCAGTCTATGCAATGGGAGGCGTACAGTGCTTGCGAACATTTTTGTCCCATTAGCAACAACCTCCTGGATCGGACGTGTGCGGTGGCCCGGACAATTCTGTCCATCGGCCGCGCTTTGCCGAAGCACAGTCCCTGGGAAGTGATGACGGAGTGTGGTCAGCCCAGGAAGAGTGAATGCAAGCCGCTCGAAAAGCCTTGCCTCTTCGACATCGAGCGAGACCCCTGCGAGATTGACAACATAGCCGATGATTACCCACACGTGAGTAATTGGTTTAAACGCGATAGCGTGAAAAAGCTCGTTTCGAAGAAATTCGAAAGTTGTTGGCTTCGGCGTCGGGCTTTGATGGCGAGGAAAAAGCAACATTTCCCATGAATGCGAAGTCGAGGTAGATGCAAATAGGATGTGATATTGGAAGTTTCCGTACTTTCGCTTTTATCGCGGTGAGCTCTAGGTCCCCAGCGCAAGAAGGCTTGTGATTGGCAAGGCGATACAAACGCGGCCCGATTGCACTATCGCTACCCCTAATGGTCGCAGTTTCCGAGAAATGCGGGTGCGCTGTTTGGTCGCACCATATCTTGAAGGCATTGCTACGCTTTGGCGCAACTTTTTTTGATCGCAGGAAAAAGAAATTGTCCTAACACGAACAAGGAAGTTCAAAAGGAGGTTTTTACTGTCAGTTTTTTCATTTTATGAAATTTTTGTGGCCATACTTATTGTAGGCTGATCGCTTTCACCTGTAACATGCCGAACATTGCGTATGATGGACACGCACAGCTTCTAACAGTTTTAAGGCTAAACTTGATTTCATAAGTGGGTGTATTATGTAGGCTTCGAAATTGACACACTACATATATAAGACATATGTTGTATAAAAAAAGGTGTTTCGAATGTTTAGACACATACAGAAATGTTCATTTAGTACACAGGAGCACATAAGTAAATATCTGTAGACTGAGTATACTTGCAGAAATTCAGCGAACATCAAATCTAGACGCACCTTAGAAGTTAATTGTTGACAGCATATTAGCATGGCGTGCTGTGTTTGTATATTGTAAAATATATTGTTCTGTACTTCAAGACAGTTCAATTCATTATTGTTGTTAACCGTCGATCGGCTCACAAATAAAGAGCCTAGCTCGCGTGTAAACTAAAAAAAATTAAATTTATGTGTTTGCTTGAAAAGGTACGCAGTTCGGTTAAGAGGTAGTAGTAAGTACTCATCTAATGCTTTAAGCACATGAATTAATCGTGTCCGTATGTCACAGTTTTGACTTGCTTCAAGACACCTAGAGCACACCAAGTAAGAAAAACGTTTCACAACATCTTAAGTAACGACGATAGTTATAGCACGAGAACAGAACGATGATGCAGAGGCAAGAAGAACACGCGTCGTTGTTCTGTTCTCGTGCTATAACTATCCTCATGTCATACCAACTAGCCCAACCTGCCATACTTCTAAGACTTGAGTAACTTTGATTACCCACGAGGTACTATGACCTGTTTGTTCTTTTTTGTCAGGTATTACGAAGCTTGGAAAACCGACTGCAACAGCACAAGAAAGCTATGGTCCCACCGCTGAACAAGCCACCTACGAGGAGATCGGACCCGAGATATTTCGATTTCACCTGGGCACCTTATATGGACACTGTGTGATTAACTTTTCTGGTGTCGATGGACTGTTGCTTCGTGTGAATCATTTTGCTCAGTAAATCAAATTAGCCCTCTATGGGTTTGTATGTCTCATGAAGGTTTGACTTTAAGTTCCCTGCGTTATCCTCAAGCACTGCTTCTATATATTTCATCACTTTTAGGACATATTTTATTTATCCTCCGAAAAAGCAAGAGGAAACAAAGAAAGCGGCACATTCTCCATGGCCGGACGCACCCTGTAAGCTTTGGCTGACCTCTTCGCCTTCGGCTATGTCAATCTCTAGAATACTGGTAATAATGACATAGTGGTGTTCGTTTTCGAATATCCATCGTCGCTTCATTTAGCGAGACGGCTCAGTGCTATCCCATAGTTGTGTTCGAAGTACTCGAAATCGTTAAACTTTTTTTTTCTAAAAACACACATTTCGAGTGTGAGGCCCACGGGATGGAGCATTGTGGGGTGAAGTTCCACGAAACTATCTAGAGCTGACACTTCGGAGCATAAGCGTCTCGAGATGCTTCTATGGTATTTCCTTCAAAGGGACTTCTCGAATCTTCCATAGTAAGCGATTTTTTTCGAACGGTAGTAACAACTTGATTTTTAACAGCAGCCACTTTTTCACCTATTCAAAAAAGCTCCTCAGTTTGATCTGACACAAGGCAACGCGGTGAACACACTGCTCAGGGCAGGGCGTTTGAAACGGATTTGGGCTGCCTTGAAGGCTTTGGTTGTAGTTCAGCTCCAAGTGAAAGTGACAAAAAAATGCTCATGCATCAAACAGTAAATAAATTCACACTCTTATAAAACAAAATTTTCTATCTCGGTGTAAGATAAGAACAGTTTTCATTTTTCCTTTACAACTTTCAAGCACCCGGTGGCGTCGCGATTGCGATGACCGAACGACACTTAGCAAAAACCGAAAACGCGCGTTGCGCTCAGGTAAGCTTCAGCGTTTGAGCGGAACGGAGAACGGGGCGCAAGATCAGTCAGCTAAAAGTTCCTATTAGAAGAGAGAAAAAAAACACTACCAAATACGTCCACATGCATGCAAAATTAAATGACCCTTTATGGGGGGTTATATCTACATCTCAATGTGTGTGAGTGATTTTAATTGTAAATAAAGGAAAAGTGAGCCCCGTAACTGTCTCACAGGAGGAGGACACCTCAACAGTAGCTCCCGATGGGTGTGGGTAAAGGAAGGATAAAAAGAATAGTGCGATGATGTTTATTCGAACAGAGGAGTCGCAACGAGGTCGCGACGGAAAATGGGCGAACGGCAAGTCTGGCAAAGGCAGCACAGGTTCTCGCGCAATCAGAGCACGGGGTTCTTCGTTCTCTTTTGAAGGCGCATACGCGTTAGTGCGTATGCTCCACTACAAGAGGATTAAAAGGTAAATAGATAGAGAGAGGAAGGAGAGAGTGAGGCGCCAGGACAGTGAACGACAGAAAACGACGGACGTAGAGAGGAGATAGGAAAGATGGACATGGTCGCAGGAGTCCGAGGACGGGGCGCCAATCAGCGAGAGCTTTTGTCGGCGGCAGGAGATGGCGTAGGGGAAGCTCAGTCGGCCAGGGCTGCGCTTTTGTTGGAGATCGCGGGGGCACAACCGGTCGGCACGAAATCTATAGAGCGAGTCCCATCTCAATGTCGGTCAAGGTCAGTGATCGAGTCGCCATAGTTTGAGCTGCCGGAGCACAAGGGTGGCAAGCGTGGCGCCACGTTCCATCGGAGCCTCGCACTTACAGTATCACTTGCATAGGCCAATATAAGCCACCAATAGACGCTCGCCTGCCCCTCTTCATGCCTATGCGCCATCACCAGCGGCCGCCATAGAAACAATAGACGTTGTGAGGGAGGCCCACAACAACGTGTTCATAGCAGCTGATGCGCTCTGGCAGGCTAGTTGGTTCATAGCTGAAAAACATTCTCAAACTGCGCGAAAAGACGCAGACAAAAGTAAGCATTCTAAACACCGCTGCCCTCGTGGTGTTCTGAATGTATTCTCACTTCTGTGGTTCGTCTTCAGGCGCAGTTTTTCTGCTAGCAGGTGCATGCACTCCCTGCTGCCCCTCCTAGCACAGCAAGGACAGAAAGCACGGAATGCGAGCAGCTCGGCATCGGGCTGCAAAATCTCAAGCGATGTGCATGTTGTCTGCTGAAGGGCCGACCCAAACGGAGGCCATATTGGTTGTGTGTGATTATGGAGCGAAAGGCGCATACTTTTGACTCGTGATAACCAGGTTTAAAAGGAGGTAAATTTCACCGAATCATTTTCTTTATTTATTTTTTTCTTCTGAGTAACTGCTCTAGTCTGGGTACGGCGCGAGATCGACGGAGACGGAAGTGTCACAGGCGAGCGCTTCCGTTTTTCATCATCGCCGACCTCGCGCTGTATTCACAAATGCTGAGTTACAAACTAGCCCAGCTTTCATCACTATTGTAATTATTCTCTCTTTTTTCTTTAACAATGCTCCGGCTGGTGATTTTGATGAACGTGGGAGTGCAAATTTGGGATGATATCTGCTGCCTTGGTAATCGAAAAGGACAAGGATTGAGAGACCCTTAAGGTCTCTGTGACCTATACACCGCATCTTCTTTGTATTGAAGGGTTACGAAGGATGTCGTCTGAGAGTTTGTAGTCAAGGAGAAGCAGTCGGTCGCGGACGTAGGTCAGAACAAAACATGCCGTTTCATTACCAGTACAGATGGCCTTTCGATATGTTTAGAAAAATTTATTGTAACAAACGTCAACAACACTCAACAGAACACTTTTTTCTTAGACATACAATAATGATGATGATGCAACAGACGTCGTTTACATAAACGTGAATATGAGATGACGTTGAAACAACATGTATATTCGATGGTTCACACAAACACAACCCCTGAAAATATTTAACAAGATATAGATACGTCGCAAACGAAAAACGTTCCTAAGAAGTCTTGACGCTACTACGTCATATTCTGAAGCATTCTCAACTGAGAACGTTTAGTACATCCCGGATTTTAACAGTGAGCAATTAGGCTCTATTGGTACTGGAACTACCTTTTTTTCTGTTTTGCTCAGCGAGTGGCTGCTTTCCAGAAGACATCACGTTCCTTTATTTGAAGCTCGTGAAAATTACGTCCCATTTGCGTGGTATCTCAGTCAACGGCTGAAAAAAAAGCGATAAAAATAAGAAGAGAAATGCGCCATCGTGACATTTTTACCCAGGCTGTCTATGAAAAGGGATTGGAGCGCTTCGTCCAACAGCCAGCTAGCCAGCTGGTCCCCACGTGTGGACCATCCCCAGCCGGAGTACCAAACTTTCATCAAATTTAGCAGCAAACTGCCCATGCGCTACGTCTACAGGAATGCTTCTTTATCGTTAATCGAGAGTGTTGCTTGTTGGGAAAGTTGGTACATATTTAAACTCGAAGAAAGCCAATAAAACTCGGAGCTCCGCCATGGTGGTCTAGTGGCTAAGGCTGCTGACTCGCAGGTTGCGGGACCGAACCGCGACTGCAGCGGCTTGATTATTGACGGAGGCGGAAATGCTGTAGGCCCGTGGGTGCACGCTAAAGAACTCCAGGTGGTCAAAATTAGGAGCGAAGCTCCTTAAGGCGTGGGCTGTGCGTCCCCTGTATGTAGCCACCTCTCGTTCAGTTCTAAGTAATGCGCTAGCCACCGCCCGATCTAAAGGGTACAGCCATATCCATCCGTCCATCCGTCCATCCGTCCGTCCATCCATCCATCCATCCATCCATCCATCCATCCATCCATCCATCCATCCATCCATCCATCCATCCATCCATCCATCCATCCATCCATCCATCCGTCCATCCATCCGTCCGTCCGTCCGTCCATCCGTCCGTCAATCCGTCCATCCATCCATCCATCCATCCATCCGTCCATCCGTCCGTCCGTCCGTCCATCCATCCATCCGTCCGTCCGTCCAAAAGATGCAAGATGTTATAAACTAGACGGCGGTACGTGTAGTTGATTATGAAAGATGCGAGGTGTTATAAAATAGGAATGATGCCACATATGGCGCGTGTCATCGTTCGATATAGTGCGGCGACGTACGCTAGGGGGAGCGTTGCAATAAAATCGAGTGGGCAAAATGTACGGAGGATTCATGGTTTACCAGGTTTACCTCCGGAGCTTCGCCCACTCATCATCATTCACTTCGTGGATATGGCGGCATTTTTTTCCGGAGCCCATCAGTCTGGCGTCTCTCATAATCACATGGTGATTTTTGGGCGTTAAACTCCACATATCCATCAATGAATCAATAATTTAATCAATCAATCAGCCAATCTAACCAAATTGCCCTGCCGTGGTGGTCTAGTGGCTAAGGTACTCGGCTGCTGACCCGCAGGTCGCAGGTTCGAATCCCGGCTGCGGCGGCTGCATTTCCTATGGAGGCGGAAATAATGTATACATTAATAATGTATACATGTATACATTAATAATATAATGTAATAATGTATAACATGCACCCAAATCTGAGCACACGGGCCTATAGGCCCGTGTGCTCAGATTTTGGTGCACGTTAAAGAACCCCATGTGGTATAAATTTCCGGAGCCCTCCACTACGGCGTCTCTCATAATCATATGGTGGTTTTGGGACGTTAAACCCCACAAATCAATCAATCTAATCAAATTCAAAAAAAAAGAAACTGAAACAGCAGCAGAGCCACCTCTGCGATCAGTGTCTCTGTTTCTGCCCCTCGTTTTCTTCACAGGCCGATTTTCTGTAGCTATAGGCCTTCGTGCGGTGATTATTGAGCATCATGCTCGTGGCAATTAACGGCAGCGTCAAACAACGAAGCAGCCCGTCTTTCTGGGCAAACGAAGCGCACAGGCGCACGCTACTCTGCGGCTGGAATTCCCTGGGCGACTGACGCTCTCTCCACTCTATATTTGACGTGCCAATGAGTCGTCAGTCATCTGCTTTCAACACCAGAGCTGCGACACTGTTGCTCAACAGAGGTGACGCCAGCGGCGTTAACTGGAAACTCGCGTTTATAGATTAGCGGCCCGAGGAGTCTGTATTCTGGCTCCCGACCTAGAGGACTGTTTCTTGCTGGG